CGCCTGTCCTTCCCCCCGTTCTCGTCGGGCAATCTCATCTTATTGTCCCATCGATGTTTTAGGCTGGCTACAGCCACTTCGCTCCACAGCCGTCCCGCCACCCCTGCCGTGTGCGATCCCGGCCTCACCGTCTTTCGAAGTTGTTCGCACACCCACTCGTGTGCGCTCTGGCGCATGTGCCCGTATGTCCGTCGGTCCGATATCTCCCTCTTCTCCGGGTCTTCTGCCATCTCCTTTCTCACTGTGTACATGCACGGCCGAGTTCGCACCGCGTCCCGCACCACTTTCGAGGCGTCCTCCGCGTCGTTATTTCCGAGGTATGCTGTCGCCACCGCGTCGGCGTATGCGTTGCAGGCTATTCCCACGTGTGCTGGCACCCACATGAAGACCACCGCCTCTAGCTTCGATCTATAGTAAGCGATCGCCTCCAGCAGTCCGCCTCTCTCCCAGTCCCTCAGACCTTTCGGCGTCAGATGATCTTCCTGGGCGCAGCATTTGTTTTCTTTCTTACCTCGGCGTGAGTCGCCGAGGGGCCAGCAAGTGGCTGTGGCCCCCATGAGCTGAAGATGCTGCCCGGCTCCCTCTCCCGCGTTGACGAGCAGGCGCCTGCGTATTGTCATCCTGCCGATCCGAAGGCCTTGTTTGATGGCATCCACCACAACGAGGCCTCCGTCCACTCCGCGCTGAACCATCCGAGGGCGCTCGAGGAGTGCCTCAAGCGTACGGGCGTGTCGCCAGCAGAGATTGCCAACAAAATCGATCCCGACGGGGACCGACGGCCGTTGCACTGGGCGGCAGCTCGCGGTCACACCCAGTGCGTCCAGTTGCTCCTCGAGGCCGGCGCAGACCCGCAGGCACTGGATGTTCACGGCGCGACTGCGGCGCAGCTCGGGATGTGGCACGAGGAGTGCTCCGCTCTGCTTCCGTCGATCTCGGCGTATCCGGCGGCGGCGGCGATCGTGGCGGCGCAGGTCGCGGCGGCGGCGGCGAGCTGCTGCGCAACGCGGAGCGACTCGTTCGGGACGAGCGGCTCGTGCCAGACAAGCGGCTCGTGCTCGAGTAGCGGCGCGGCGAGCTCGCGCAGCAGCGAGCGGCTGCGGCCGGGCA